AAAATTATCCTTATTTTCAGAGATTTTATTATTTGAATTAGGTAAATTAAAATCGAGTAGTGAGAAAAGATGACGAAAAATGTTGAATGTGTACTTCGCTGCGCAATGATATTTTTAACTTTAGCGTTGACTTATATTCAATGTTTGCAAGATGCGCGGAATTTTTAAAAAAAAAAAATGAGAATTCACAAAGCTTTGACTGCTCAAAAGTTGAATTATTACTTCATTTCTTCGGATGCGCTTGATGAAGAATGAATGTTGAGCCTTGCGTGTAAGTAGAGTACATGCTATCTAGTGGAGTCAATGAAATTAGAGTGGAAGGGAATTTGCTGCGACATACCGGTCAATTTATTTCGCGAGTGTGGATTTACAGTTATTAGCGATTGAAATTCTGATTATAGTGCCAAAAATTTTATTGGAAAAGTGAAGATAGGCACATACTTTAGAGTAAATAAGGAGAAAAGGGGCACAAGAAAACAATTTCTCAATACGGGCAGCGGACTCAAAATGTTTATAGTTCGTGAAAAATTGTCTCTCCTCGCGTAATATGCCTCATAGAATGTGCCATTTTTTAATTTGTTTGTTTTTTTTTCGTAATTTTTTACGTCATTATTTTCTAAATGTTCACAAAAATGTCATTGTTTTCTGTGCGCCCAAATTTAAAGTTTAAACTTTCCGAAAAATTGCAGAATTGCACTAGCTAAGTGTTTCGTTTCAGTCAGATTTCTTTAAATCAAGCGCTCTGCAAGGCACTGACCTTGCGTGTTTGTCAATTGAGTTGTCAGCGGAGCAGCGATGGAACTGATACAACTTCTGGCTCACCTCGATTGGATGGCGGAAGTAGCAGCTTTGACTTTTTAAGTTCAAATCATAACTACTGAGGAGGTTGCACTGGGGGCAAAAAATCAGCCACGTTCATCTGTCAGTCTGCTTCCAACGGCATCCGTTCTGTCGTTTCCGGCATTTGAGCGAGCTGAAAGGCATTCCGACCGAAAATCACTACGAATTAGGTGAATTTGTTTGAAGTGTTAGAAATCGTATCAATTCCAAAAACATAATTTTGACTCTGTTTTGAAAAAAATGTCCAGAAAATGTTCCGGTACGTTAAGGGGACATGTCACCACTGATATGAACGCAGAGATATTTTTCAACTGATCATCCCAAAACTATTTGAGGCAGTTATTACTGTATAATTATTCTAATTTTTAAAAATGACGTGCTTGAAAATGAAAATCAAATTTTTATTTTGAAAAATGTTTTTGAGCCATTTTAATAACATTCATAAATTATCAGCGAACACAGCCGAACATATTGAAAACCGGTATTCGTACCAGAAAACGGTGAGCTATTTTCGCATCCGTCGGACGAATTCTTTAGGTAGATACCTCTCTAGAATTATTGGAAAAGAATTCCCAACCGGACGACTTACGTAACTCTGTGGGTTCAGTCTAACAGGACAAGTCGAATAAAATGCCAAAAGGGGAGAAACAAATTTTGAAGGATTTATAATACTTTATTCCTATTTTTATAGCTCCGGTGCAAGTAGGATCAGGAAAAGCTATGAAATGACGTGTATAATCATACAGTAGGTATTACTCTTTTCTCGTGACCTTTATCCTGTCTTGGCAAAAGTGGTTCGAAAACAAGCTGAGTAATTCATCACACGAGTGATGATTTCTAGCGATGTTGCCTGCAAGTGAATAACAAATTACAAGTTTCATTCACGAGCCCATGCGTTAGCCCGTTCTCTGCCAAATTTTTCAGGGGACCCCGACAAATTTTCCAAAAGTTGATTCTAACCGAGCTATTTTTTTTTTTTTTTTTTTTTTTTTTTTTTTTTTTTTTTTTTTTTTTTTTTTTTTTTTTTTTAAATTAAGTTCTCTCCGATTAAAAACCGGACCATTGTAAAGGACAGCGGCAGTTTTATAACCACGTGAAATTCTGGAAATGAAAAAAAAAATCAAATTTTTGCAATGGCTAAAATGCCATATTTATTTCCAATTTAAAGACGAATCTTCTTAAAGAGGGGGGAGTTTAGGGAATGGACCCCCCCCCCCCCCCCCCCCCNATTTCCCCTCAGCTGAGGCAACTTGGTTATTAGAGTTCATTGACTGGCTTTGTCCATAATAATGGACATCAATGTAAGATACACTTCTTTTGAAATTTTCATCTTTTTGGTAAACATATTGGCTCTTTCTCGCCCCTCTCCTCATCTATTTGTTTACTACCTCAGAGGAGCTAGTCGGGTCAATATGACTCGGCTTAAGACTTCTGGAAGTAGCCGTCGAAAAACTTTCCCTGACACGACACAACTCTTGTCATACCACCAATTTTGAAACGTATGCCCTTCAGATCGCTTAGGATGCACCTCTAAACATGCTTTTATTCTCTTTTTCTTCTTCTTCAAATTGATTATTGATTTGGACACAGCGCAGCATATTTCGCGCAAACTTCTCTTTCATAAATAAGAGTCACCTCAACGAGCGGTGATGACAGCACAGAGATGCAACGATTTGTGCTTGATGGATGTCCATGTCGCATAAGCAAAATCGGAGGCACGATGGCTTAAGGCCAGTGGCGTGGCGTGAATTGCGATATACCGATCGTTATGCCATTTAAACCTATGAAAGAAGATCGATTATCAGGGTGTTCGCAGCGAACACCTTAGTAATCGATTCTTTACCATAGCTTCAAATGGCGAGATATCGATAATCGATTATTCACGCCACGCCACTGCTTAAGGCGTGAACCCGCAATGTTAAGCTCATGCTGCTTGTGAGGTGTCGCTCAAACTCGGGAGAAAAGTTAAAAAACGAATCCCAATTACGTCTTTCTTATCTTCACCTGAGTTGCTCTTGTAGCCCGCGAAGAACCGCTACAAATAAGACGAACGGAACCGACACAATGTGGAAACAGAACGAGGGAAAGGATGCGCATTGATGACGGCGCAGAGATACATCTATTCGTACTTAATGGATGGCCGTGTTGCATCCGCAAAATTGAAGGCGCGATCGCGATGGCGCGAGGCGTGAGCTCGCAATGTTCCGCTTTATGCTGCCACTGAGGTGTCGCTCAGATTCGGAGGAAAAGTCAAACTTAACAAAGGATTGTTCCTTTGCTTTTCAATGTGATGTCCGATTCTTTTTTAGTATGTAATTGTAAACCTGTATCCAACGCTCGTATATCGGCCCCATACAACCTGCAGGTTTTAGCAAACCTTGGATCAATTGGACGTATTTCTGACAAACGGAACTAAGCGCCATACGGGGAGGAAGGTAGAGGGGGGCTGGAATGGGGGGCGAAACCGGGCGTTGGGCTCATTCCGTCCTATACGCGCAATGTTTTATCATGGCGCTTAGTTCCGTTTGACAGAACGCGCTATCCGGCATTCTAAATTCCTCAAGAGGAACTCAAATTGGCGCTTAGTTTCATTCGACAGAAATACGTCCAATTCGTCGCAACAGCGAATTCACCGCCGGGACGGCAACGCTGGGCTGGGGGCAGTAGTCTCTATGAGTGTTTTGCCAATAGGAAGAAATTTCGCGGGTAACTTGTTTTCCCGTTCTGAATACGTTCCTTTTAATTTATCACGAGCACGAGCCAAAACATATTTGCTCGCATTTTACAGCTCCGTGAGACTTTGTTGCATTCTCGCCGATTTGAATGACTGTGCTCGTACATTTTCCTGGAAGAGTGCCGCTGTCTCGCGTGTTTTATGGCGGGACTTACGTGTACCAGAGCGAGGGCAATGAATGACGAGAGGAAATATCCTCGAATCAAGGATTTTGGAAAAACCGGTTTGAACTCGGAAAAAGCCCACGAAAGATCTGCGCCTTGCTACCGTTGAAAGTTACTCTTCAGTGTGCCCACTGAAATAATTGCGCACTTGTTATTTTCGCACTCCTCACTTATTTTTAAATCTCTCTCTCTTTTTTTTATTATTATATCCCTCTTTGGCTCTTCGTGTAACTACGAAGAATAACATTTTTCTAGGAGCTATACTTGATTTATCACGAGATGCACGGAACTGCCTCGGTCCCCCAAAAAATGACAAACCTCGTGGGCATACGCCTTAGATCGACTGCACTCGGGACTTTCTTCGAATTGTGAACTTCTTTCAAATTCCACACATGGAAGCGTTCACTCGTGTCTTAAACTAATAATATCCATCAAACTCGGATGAAAAAAGAAAAAAATTCAACATTGATATCTATTTTGCATTGCAAGGTCGGTAAAAAATGTGGCAAGTGAAAGTTGGTTAATTTGGGTGGCAAACCATTGTGGATTTCATTTAATTTCATGGAAAATGGATCGAAACTGTAAAATCTGCTGGCCTCCTAACCTTTTGCCGTTTGTTAAACCCTGCCTTGGACGTAACTAATCCTTTCCATTTCATTCTATCTCATTCTATCCCACCCTACATTCTAATCTACTGCAGTATAACAACTCTACTCAACTCTCTCCGACTGTTCTCTACACTAATCTACCAAAGTCTATTTTATCCCACCCTTCTCTACATATAAACTGCATTATAACTGCATGTATTCAATCCCACTCTATTCACGCTATTCTACTCGCTATTTGATTCTACTGTACTTTGTACTAGTAATAAGTTGTAACAATTGGATTGCATTTTGCAAAAAGGAACCACTTGCATTGCAATGTTGCTAGGATTGTGCAACTTCTTTTGTCTTTGAGGAAAAAACCCGATTATCTCTTAATAGTTTCTATTTTATTCGCTAAAAACTGTAAATTTAAGACAAAAATTACCAGCTAAATTTCATAGTTTTTCACAATTTCCGCAATTTTATTGCAAAGGATGAAGTTGCACAATTTTAGCATCATTTCAATGCTATTGGTTCCTTTTTGCAAAATGCAATCCAATTAACCCCTTCGTTTCAAAGCCACCACTATCTTTATAGATTCTCAGGGTCCCTTTAGGTTTTGGTGTCCCTATTCTCTCTCTACGGTCATAATTAAGGTCATTTCAAATGTTCCAGGTTCAGATAGCGTCGCAGATGAAGAGATCAAGAAGCTACTCAGGGTGCCCGAACTTGACGATTTTTTGAGGGCGTTACCCCTTGGGTCGGAATGTCTTTTGCGCTCATCATCCTCATCGTGCTCATGTTCGAGGTCTTCGGGTTCGTGCTGGCCATCATCCCCGAGGCGGCCCCCGTCATAAGCCCACCGGCCGCTCAGGACGCCAGCGCCTACTACGCTGCCCCGTCAATCACCCCCCACAACACCTACTACATCTCCATGTCCGCCGCCTTCAGTCCGGTCGCCATCTGAGATTGTCGAACATCAAACAAGAAAAAGTGAGTCTCAAATGAATTGATGGTTTAAAAAAAATGACTACCTCGCTACTTTTTTAAATCTCATAAAATACGGACTGCTAAATTTCTGATTTTTCGACAACCCCTCCCCCCTCCTCCCTATTGTAACGCTTCTGTGACGCGGTCTGTTCTTTCTGGTTCCTATTTTTTGACACAGCGATTCTCAACCGTTGCTCCATGTTACAATCTAACAAGAAAATAATATGGCTTACAGCTCTCCTCAGATTCACACCCCCTCCCCCGCCACTACAGCGTTACATATTTTATGAAAGACACCCTATCGGAAGACCGTTCTAAAAGCGAGAGGTTAGTGCAATTTTGAGACTGAAAGTTTTGTGAATAAGTCGAATTTGACCGGCTCCAGCCTAACAGAATTTCACGTTACCTAATTTTCTTGTATGTTTTATTGTTTTAAAAGAGAGCTAAATTGCTCAACGCCTTTAAAAGTTCCTGTAAATTTACTCTGATCATGAGGAATATGCTTACAAAATTTCAAATTTCAGTGTCGCCTTGTATTCTCCTCAAAAAAATAAAATATCAGAGAACATTAGGCAACGACGCTGCGTTGATGAAAACTATAACCAATTCATTTCAGGAGAGATCACCCAACTCGCATTCGAAAGTACAGGGAAATGGATTAATTTTTACCGCCACGCGCCGCTGGTTAAATGCAACGGCCAATCAACGTTGAGCGCGGGAAAGTACGCGATTGGTAAAGTAATCCTTAACCGGAAGGCGAGAAAAATTGAAATTTCATTGAATATTTCACGAGTTTTCACGGGGCACGAAGCTGTGTTTCCCACCGCGCACCGCACGTTCAGTGCGAAGACCAATCAGCGTTGAGCGTGGTTACAACCACTAATATAATATTACACAGATCCGGGTGACGGGCACCCGGAGCCATGCCCGCTAATTCAAAAGAACCGCCGAAAATTCAAATTACGTACGAGGGAATCATCAGCCCGCCAGAAGCCTGCTGTGCTGGCTGCGCACCAATCAACAGAAGTTTTTGGAGGTTATGTTTTGATCGTCCATCGTCCAATGTGTTTGTGCCGGAGTGTAATTCAATTCTCCTCTTTTTCCTCTCTCAAAATATTGATGGGTAGTCATTCATCACGCGTTTAATTTTTCAAACGTTCTAGCATGAAGAGGACTTGAAAATTCATCGCGGAACTCATTCTTTTCATTATCCGGTTTTCCACACCCTAGTCACAATTTCATAGAGATGATTGTGAAACTTCGTGAGTATTTTCGAACTCTCATTTTCTTCGAAGGTTAAGTCTTATATTTCAAGCATGCCTCTGTCAAATTTTCGTTTGAATTTATGATCATGAAAACATTGAACTGAAAGGTCAGAACTTTAGGCTGTAATGTATCAGACTGTTTTGACGAAGCACCGACCCACTGGATCGTGCACTCCTGCATGAACGAAGAACCTAACACACCTATTGATTGGGTTTCTATCTCCCATGTAACCTATTTTTATGCTGGAGAATGTGATATCTCCACTTTTATCCAGACCCAGATAAGAAGTGGTGATAACAAAAATCATCAAAATGAAGCTCCCCTCAAATATGCTCAGGTTTTTATTTTGGTTTTATAGTGGATGTTTATCCGCAAGGCGAAATTAGGCCAATCAACCTAAACAAACAACAGCAACAACATGCTGGTATCTGGTTTTACAAATTATACATGATTCAATTATATGCGAAGTATTAATTGCAAATTTCAACCTCTTTAATTTTGTGGTAGTTTAGCTTTTTATGAATACATTCTCTTACCAACATGTACGTCTACACATGTTCCTATTCCTGATATTGCTTCACAGCTTTAGTAACTGAGTAACTTTAAATAAATTGTCAATGAAACTGAGTATCTGACCATATATCTCGGTTAGCGATGTTGTAGACTTCCTGTCATACTCCATTTGTTAAATGGAAAACTACTCACCTAACATCAATTCTTGAAAACTTCAAGGAATGATATTGATTAAGAAATATAGTGGGAGTGGAGATTTTTAAACACTGAGAATGAGACACATGGTCTGGTGTAGTTTCACCGTTTTAATATAACCTATCATGGATTGCTGAATGAAGGCTAGAAAAAATAAAACAGCTTCTCTTGGCTATCACTTATCCTAGAATTCATTTGTATTCTTGTAAATTATGTTATGAAGATTTTTTATTCTTTTTTTCCTTTCTCCATAAAAATCTGTTCACAGTGAGAGCACCCAGATTGCTGAGTAAGTGTGTAGTTCGCAATTTCTCAGCAGTTGAGCCTGTTGTCAACTTAAATGAACGAAAAGTATTTGCCAAAAGGGCTGAAACCAATGACCCTGTAAGTATTTATACCTCCCATTACTTATTCAATAATTAATTTTTTTATCTACCTAAGTTCTATCAGAGGTTAAGGATTTACTGCGGTGCATTTCTGGGAGGTCTAATAATATGTACTGATAACTTCAGCTACTTGAAGTCAAAATGTTAGGGGACAAGCTGGATTATTTTAAACGCTCATCAATTTGGTTGGATCACATTTTTCTCTCTCTTACATCTTGTCTATATATTGCTGGACAACAAATTTTCAAAGCAATATTGTAATGACCATCAAGTTCAGCATGTGTTCTTTTTTCCCCCAAATTTTAATTTTATGTTTTGACCTTTGAAAAACTACTAGGAACTGCACTTCAATATCTTGTCCAGTATTAGATTCTCGCACTCCCTGTGGTTTGAATCGTTTCTTACATAAGATTTTAAAAAGGAAATGTAATGCTTTATGCTAGTTCAGTCTTTTTGTAGTGGTCCCTTTGAAAAGGTCAGATTTTGATTTCATCGGAGGGATCTGATCTCAGGTGTATACAAATTGTATTTTCAATTATATTTGATACCATAAATTTTTCGTTTTCGATAAATTAACGCCTTCGCATTTTGTTTCAGGCTACCCACTCAGAAAATGACATTGGCAAATTCTACACTGTTTCAAAAGAGGACAATAAGAAACTTTTTTCCTTCTATGAGTTTCCTGCACAGTTTGAACGTAATATCAAGACTTTCAACGAATCTGCTTTCATGATAAGGGAACCAGCATTAGAAATAATCAACTCACTAAAGACGCTGGACCCCACAAAGCCAATCCTCAAATTTGTAATTTGTATCCTTTGAAGCTCTCTCTACAATCTCTTTTCATTCTCAGAATCTTTAGTCGTATCTATCATTCAGTAAGATAGGAACTTAAGTTTCCTAATATTGCTCCTTATACATCAGTGGTACAAACTAGTAGAAAATTTTATTATTTTGTCAAGATTTACTTTCAAGAGGAAAATAAGCTTCCTCTGTGACATGAATTATGTCCGAAGAATCATGTCACTAGAGATAAACTAAGAGAAATTATTCCGTCCAAAGCAATAACACCGCAGCTTTACTCTGGATTTTTTCATTTATTTTCTGACTAAATACTTTATCACCAACTGCATAGCATTCACCTCTCATAATTCTAGAATAATTGTGGCATTCATATAGAACTAAAACTGACCAAGTGAAGCACAATGGTGATCAGGTCTCCTCATAGCAGACCACTATGTGGGAAAGAAAATTGCAAAATCTTGAATTGAATAATGTTGTTGTTGTTGTTGAAAGCTGAATCAAGCAGAGCTTGCTATATAAAGAATGTGGAATGGATTATATTGTGCAATTAGGAACTGTAATCCCTAGATCAGTTTAGCAAGAACATTTGTACCTTCAACTTTCTGATCCACACAAGTACTTTTACAGACGAGCCAGATATTGTAATTCCCCAATTGAAAAATCTAGTCCAATTGATTTTCACCATTTCAAAACATGTAAAAGTTTTCATTCTAAGTTTTAATGCCAATTCATTGTGAATTTCTGCAAGTTTATCACATCGGAACCCTTCCCTCTTTTCTTCTTTTCAAGGTGCAATATCAAAGTGTCTATTTCTTTAATTATTTCAATCCACAAAGCACAATATTTTCTTAACTCACATTAACAGATGGTCGTTTTGGCGAGGGTAAAACCATGACTTTTTGTCACATCTGTCACTTTGCCCATAGAGCTGGATGGATCCTCTGCTATGTTCCCACTTGTAAGTATCGTTTGGCATTGATGAATTACAACTCATGTAAAACTTCAATTCTATCAAAGTATTGCTGTTCCTAGTATTTTTTTGTCTGCTTAATATATGGGTGTAGGATCTAAGAATTGTACCGGGTCCCTATTTTCTCCAAGGAAAATCATCATAAACAGAATCAGAAATTCAATAGAACATCACTTTTTTTAAGAAACAGGGCTTCTACTACCGGGAAAATAGGGAAAACTCAGGGAATTTAATGTTGATTCTGGAATTTTTGCTTTTTCAGAATCCGCAGGTTTCGTCAATTGCGCGTAATCAATCCAGTGGAAATACTGCAGCATTTATATTTAATTCTTTCTACCCCTCAGTTTTTTCTGTAGGCTTACCATTTTGCAAACTTACAATCCGCTTGAGTTTTCCCAAAAATTTTGGAAGAAAAAGAATGAGTGATTTCTTAGTTGAAATTTCTACCCACAATTACTAGCATATACTAATTTCCTATGTTAATAAACATGATGAAAAATTGTGTTAGAGTCAAGCTAAATGGGACTTACAATGTTGATTTTTCAATTTTCGATCCCAACAGCTTTCTAATACTTACTCTCATGAACAAAGGGTTAAAATTTGCATTTTGAATGTTGTTATTAGCATTTGAAATGAATAACTTCGGAAGCTGGCAACAGCGGCAGCAAACTTGAACTCTGTATTTCTCAAGTTGGCGTAACATCGTTCTCTAACTTTGAAATACTCTCGTACAGTCAATTTTTTAAAGTTCTTTGTGCCAAAATCTGCAGAATTAATCCCTCTGAGCTATGGTAGAGTTATCTCAATTTTTCCTTTTTTTTTTCACTTTAAGTCCAATTTTGCCTGACTCAGTCACTGTTTTTTGACAGTTGTTCAGACGTAAAAAAATTACTACTTATCGGCTTAAATGAAGCAGTCAAAAATTATCATAAAATGTCTGTGAAGCATGGTTTTTGAAAGTGCATTTATTTACACATTAATACAATCCAATATTTTTTAGAATAGGATCGTGGGGTAGTGAAGTTGTACAAGAAATTTAGATGGCAGGAGTAGCCTCTTAGGTCGTCAGCTATCAGAGCGGCGAGTTAGTGATTGTTTTTCACTTCTGTGTTGGATGAGTTGTAGTAGAAAATTACTTTATGATGCCATCACTCAGGGAAAACCCAGGGAATTCGAAAGCCAAATGAAAGTAGAAACCCCGAAGAAATAAACTGGGAGTTGCCTCACAAGGGTTCTAATGGCCAACTGCCACTATTTTCATTAACCTTTGATCCCATCAGGTGGCCATATTCAGATGAAGTCTTAGCTAGCCATCTTTGAAATTCAAAAATGACATGAAATTGCATTCATTGGAAAGATGGATCAAGCCATAAAAGATCAAAACCTGCAGGGAAGGAAAGCTATTCCTATGATAAATAGGATTCTTTGGGATCAAAGTATTTCCAAAGAAAAGAAGAGATTGATTTATAATATCATAATCAAAATCATTCTGACCTACGGCAGTGAAGTGTGGCCCATGAAAGATCATATCCAAAAAATACTTAAGGCAACTGAGGTGGATTTCTGGCGAAGATCAGCAGGAATCTCAAGGAGAGATCACGTAAGGACGAAAGAGTGCGTGAGATCATGAACGTTGAGCAGAACATCATGCATGAAATTATGACCAAACAGCTTGTCTGGTATGGTCATGTTCAACGAATGGCAGATGACAAATTGCTTAAGAAGGTACTAGATTGGGTTCTCCCTGGGAGAAGACGCAGGGGACGTCAAGAAAAATCGTGGATAGGTGGAATTCAAGATAAAATTACAAGATGCCATTTACCAGATGACCTCTGGGTCGATAGACAAGAGTGGTGATTAGGTGTTGCAAAGCGCCTGAGCGCGCTGTAAAGTGACTTGAATGTATGTACGTTAAGATGGGGATACAAATGTTATGCAGGTAGATCTAACAGTCCCTGGGAGCAAGCACTTATTCCCTATTCCGTGCACACACACACACACACACACACACACACACACACACACACACACATATATATATATATATATATATATATATATATATATATATAGGAGAGATCTGATTTATTCAGTAACATTGAACTGTATCCTTGTTTCGTTTTTATAAATTTAATTTTTCCTTTATCACTGGTGTTCTCTCTGTTACAGCCACTATCTGGATGAGGTGGAGTAAGGAAGTGACATTTTCTGAGACCAAACCGGAATCTATCAATATACCATTAGAATCTGCGCAGTGGTTGAGGAACTTTAAAATTCAAAATGCTGACCTGATTTCAAAGTTGGACGTAAGTGACTTTATCACTAGATCAAGCTATTATTTTTTGTACCTCTGAATCTCTTCTTGTGTCAACTAGCATCCATTATTCATCTACTATCAGCATCAAATAAGCTTTCTACCAGTGATACGTTGAGTCATGGATTTATACTGTGAATTTGAATACACCTGCTCAACTACTTTGCCAAAAATTCAGCTTGCTTAAGACTTTGAAAGAACTTCATGATTGCGAGTGAAACTATAATTTCTTATTTCCTAGGTAAACTTTGCCTACTCTGTCAGTCCTGTTATTAGGAATGAGGTTGTTACATCCTTAGACTTTGCCCCCTATCGGACATGATACATCTTTTGAAGGAAGATACAGTAGCATGCCTCCCCCATAGAGAGAGTTCAAAGGCAAAATCTTAGTTTACCTCTATTTCTTGAACGGTTCATTGTATTGAGTCAAACTTTTTTCAAAACGTAACATCTCTTAAAGATCTGAACTTTCAATGAAGAGTTACAAAAAAGTTCAATAACGTCCCAATACAGAAATTTTTCAATCTTTTGGTGTCTTTTGAAATGAATCACCACTGATGATCAAACCTGGGATTTCAGTGCTGGCATTAAAGTGCATAGACCACCACACCTCTGATACTAACTTTTTATGCGATATCACAATTTTATCAAACGCATGATTTATGGTCAAAACACTTTTTTTATTTATTTTTTTTTTATTTTTTTAAATTTTCAAATTCATCAAAATTATCACGAAATTACTCATTTAATCATGAAAGTATTGTGAAAGGAAGTCTAACATATCATGAGTTGAGTCCCATATAGTTGGTTTCTCTGATCAGTTGATAAAGCATCATTTAAGATCAACCATTGTATTTCTTCCAGGACTATTTAATGCTTTATTACATGAGTATTTAAGACAGTGGTTAAATCTCCCCCACTTGCCTTCCCAAAGTTTGCAAAGCAGTGAATGAACTTAGTCTCGACAATATCTCTAGGTTTTTAAAAAGCTTGAGAACATAAAATTTGGCCCTGCCTATTAACCAAGAACAAGGTTTTTTCTTAACGTATCTACACTATTGAATCTGAAGTGAGTGCTGAAAGCTGCTCAGTTTCAGCTTATGTCTTCCTTTTAACAGGAAACATTTTTGAAAAGAAAGAAAAAAGAGCCTCAACTTACTCTTTAATGGGTCATTTAACTTAGCACAAAAATGTCTCATAATGCTCTGCAGGCCACTCAAGAAAACTATTTGTTTATCTGATCGATAACCAAACTGAGATAGAATGTAGCTGCGCTACAGGTCACCAATATTAATCTGACAACTGCTAATAGCATTAAGATTTGTTAATCAGGCCAAATAATCAACTAGTTAATAGTTGTCAGCCAGCAAGGTGACGCCTTTAGCTGGTTGATTATCTAGCCTAATGAAGGGCTAGCGATTCGTTGGCTGATCGTCAGATTTACATAATCATAATTTCAGCAATCCGCCTGCGAGAACTTATTACCTGTTCTAAAAAATATTGGTATTTTGATTTTCATTTCAGTTTTTAACAACATTTTTTCAATCCTGTTGTTAGTTGTAAAATGGTAGGTTGATACAAAGTTATTTCCAGTCCCAATTTTTGCAGTGTATGTTCTTAAATATGTATTTTTGCAACAATAGAATGGATATGACTCTATTTAATTATCATGTGGATATTTATGCTATACTGGATTTTTTTATTCGTAGCTTCGGGTAAGAGATAAAATTGTCTGGAGTGCAAGAGAAATCACAGAGAAGGATGCACCTCTTATGGAGCTTGTTGATCATGGAATCAATCGAGTCAAGTATGCTGGAGATGTTGTTGATGTATTAATAGAAAATATCAAATTATATTCAACGGAACAAAGGTGAGTTTAAAAGATCCCTGTCCTTATATCCAAGTGAACAATCAATCTTACAAAAAAAAATTGAGAAAATATGAAAAACATTATCTCATTCCCTGTTTACATGATAAATTTTAAGATCACATCCAAATTTTATTGGCTGCAATGACCTGTGAATTGAGGACACCGCACCAAGAACAACCTATAGGCGTATAGGTCGTTATTACGCCAATCTGCTTTTCGGATTCTACGTACCCTGGACTATGCTGTGGTAGCGATAGAATATAGATAGGTAACGTCTCGAGGTCGAAAAACCTTTTTTTTCCGAGGCAAGTCAGGCCTCTGGATCGATGGGTGCAAGAACGACCTATACGCGCGGCCTTATCATTCTCGGTTAGCGGGCATCGGCGCGGCGCGGCGATAGTGATGGCTCGATTTTTTGATCTCATTTTATAAAGATTTGTTTTTATTTCAGAAAAACGAGCTATTGAAATAATTTATTCTCCTCTCAAACTATCCTTTCCTCCAAAAATGTATACTTCGCATTTTGCCACCAAAATGACTGTTGGGCGTAATACGGGCCTATAAATTTAAGGGCCTATAATGTGCTAGTTACCCCTCTCTATACTCACCATCGATATTCTTTTATTTTGCGTTAATCATGCGTGATTAAAATGATTTATACTGCATATTGCCACCAAAATGACTGTTGGACGTAATAACGACCTATAAACCGCTTTTTTAAATTAACTATATTAGAGTGTAAACCCAAAATGTATCGCAAAATCTACCCGGCATCCTTCAGTAGAAGGGTTAGGTCACCCAAAAACACCAAAACAGGGTACCTGCATAGAAAAGTCTGCGCAGTACATCAAAAACAAAACTTTAAATGCGTTTTTCTCAAAACGTGGTTTCCAGTTATAGGTTGTTCTTGGTGCAATGTCCTCAATTGTCAATATATTTTTCAAATCTTTAAAGCCATGTGCAAAACCTTGTATCTCTTTTTTCACACACCTCTTAATTCTTTATTTATCTTTGAAAAACTAGTGAATGTAATTACTTGCAATTTTGCTTAATTTTTCTTCGGGGTTAGCAGAATATTCTGTATGAATTTCAAGCTGTAAAGTTGGCTTGTTTGTCTTTGAAAAAGTAAACTAGGAGGGAACTTTTTGAGATACTATAAAGGAGTCATATGGTTTTGCACTGTGGCACATGTGACCCTGTTTTTAACCCTCAAGCGATCAGCAAATCACTTGTTTCGCAACAGGTCAGAAAATAAAATCCGATCTTTTCAAGTCTTCCAGGAGTCATACAAAAAATTTGTGCGCATCATTAGTCATTCATCATTTTTCATTTTATTTATATTTTGGTCTCCTATGTGAATGTCAACATGAACTGGACACTTTGCCCACATCTTTCATGATTTATGAAGTCTTTAAGCCTTGAAATAGGAAAAAAAAAGTCGCGAAGGAGACTTAACAGATGATCAATGTGATTTACAATGAATAGGTATACTTAAATGCACACTTTACTTGATTTGGTGTTAAAGCCCTGAAACTTACAAACTTATCATTGATTGTTAAGCACTAATAAGTGTCTTAACTTCTTGGCTGTGATACTTGTGGCAACCTTGTGGGAAGCATTGGTGGGGCCAACGTAGCACATTGGCACTCAAACCTGATCGGATGCATTGTAATATGGTGTAATGACTGTGTGAGCTCCAAATTTTGTGTGAGCCTCTTTAATATAAATGCTGTGCGGCATACTTTTTCTCCTTAATGAAGCCATCACATCTACATCTACTTAACTAATTCGTGTTCTGTATTCACAAATTCGCAACATAGGCAAATATGCCCAATGGTCAGGAAAAAGTTCAGGAAATGAGGGAAGTGTCGGAAATTGTCTTTCTAAAATTCTGTAGACCCCCTGTGCGATTTTATTGAAATAATTTGGTCTCAATATGTTTGAAGTAGAACCTCTATCATTTCTAAATTCTAAGTTCTTTAGAAGAAAAGAAAGAAAAACCCTTTTTCCTGACATCATCACATATCTTTTGCCTTATTCTAATTCTTATACAGATTTCTAACCCTCTATTTCGGAAATTGATTTTAGGTGCAGAACTTTGGTTGCAATCGATGGTTTCAATGGATTTTTCAACCCTAAATCAAATTTGAAGGCCCCTGACGAAACTCCAGTACCACCCTTAAGAGTGACTATCATGCAGTCCCTAATGAAATTAACACAGGCTGATTGGGTATGTAGCATCATTGTTGAAAATTGTGCGAAGGTCAGTGATGGGACAACACAACTGATAAAAGAGATGGTTGCTTATTCATACATACGAGGGGCGTTCAATAAGTAAGTATCCCCCCTCTCTAAAATTCATTAGAATGGACCGATTTTAAAAAACTTGGGCTCAAAATCTTTCTCAGGATATTTTGAGTTCAACAAAATAAACCGCAACAAAATCGGACTATGTGCGGCCAAACGCGAACCGTTTGAACGCGCCGAGGTGCTCAACGCTCCCGCCGAATCCGCGGGGATTTGAAGTTTGCTACAGGAGAAGGGCTTCTCTGCCTAAGCCTCAGTCGTTCATCACTGACGAAAAATCAAAGAAATGTTTGTAGAATAAGGGGTTTACCTCACTTCTCTACATAACCAGCTCGATCCAAGCAGGTCTGATACTGAGACCAAGAGAACAGCTTCTGGATGCCACGCGCGTGGAAGTCTTTCAGCTGACCGGGGATGAAAGAGGGGACGGCTTGTTTGACCTCTTCCACTGATTCAAAATTAACTACTCCAAGTTCAGATTTCAGGAACGGGAATAAATGGTGGTCTGGTTTGCTATTTATTATCGTATCTGAAATCTGAACTCGGAGGAGTTAATGTTGAATCAGTGGAAGAGGTCAAACAAGCCGTCCACTCTTTCATCCCCTGTCAGCTGAAAGACTTCCACGCGCGTGGCATCCAAAAGCTGTTCTCTTGGTCTCAGTATCAGACCTGCTTGGATCGAGCTGGTTATGTGGAGAAGTGAGGTAAGCCCCTTATTCTACAAAAATTTCTTTGATTTTCCGTCAGTGATGAACGACTGAGGCTTAGGCAGAGAAGCTCTTCGCCTGTAGCGAACTTCAAATCCCCGCGGATTCGAGCGTCGAGCACTTCGGCGCGTTCAAACGGCTCGCGTTTGGCCGCACATGGTCCGATTTTGTTGCGGTTTGTTTTGTTGAACTCAAAATATCCTAAGAAAGATTTTGAGCCCAAGTTTTTTAAAATTGGTTCATTCTAATGGATTTTAGAGAGGGGGGATACTTACATATTGAACGCCCCTCATACATGATTACCTCTCCAAGTGTAAAAAATGAAGTTGTTCAAAAGCTGCTCAAATTTTCTGTAACTCAACCCCTTAGTTTTAATATACCATGGAATGTATGTTTCAGTGGATTTGCGTCCACCATCATCCAGCAAGCTAGTTACGTGGTGTGACTCTGCGCACGATGTGAGACAGTTAGCAAGTTGCTCCGACATCTTGTTTGCTGATGATGGTGGACCCTAGTCCGCCGAAGAATTTGTTGAATAATATAAGAAGGTAAAGGAATTGAGTTTAAAAAAAGAATTTGCCTAACTTTTAGTCATAACCTTGGTGAAAGTAATGTTCTTCTAACGATAGTAAAATTGGTAAAACCTTATTTTGCATTACTTTCAACCTTTTTTTTCTTGAGCAATTTGTTTATGGTTTCAAGGAGGAAGTCCCAGCTCTCAATTTTAAGAGAAAAAATTGGGATTAGGTACTCGTTATTTTTAAAATTAAATAATGAGAGGCAATGTCTACTTAGTTACAAAAAAGTAACTAAAGTCAATCGGCTGATTGTGATTATGTTTTTTACTGAATCTTGAAATGGATCAAGTGACCCAGTACTTGTTTAGATCCCTGCAGGAATCAGCTCAGGACCTATTGAGCATAAAGTCAGTGCTACGACCACTACACTGCAGGAGGCCGACAATAGGCCAGTGTATGTTTGAGGGTACATGTAGCAAATCTAAAATTGAAAGGATAGAAAAATAGACTGTATTAGATCTACAGGATGAGCAAAAAACACCAGCCAAAAAAAAAATAAAATGTAAGGAAAGGGATATGAACAATATTATATTTTTTTTCTCTCTCAAATTGGAAGATCTTAGAATGAAAAAAAATAATATCTTATGTATATTTATGAATTCCTAATACGTCTGTGAAGAAAATAACCAGCCTTCTTTATCTCTCAAATAGATTATCCAAATGGCAAGTTTCACTTTAGGCAGCCAGAAAAAAATTAGTTAATAATATTTATTTTAATAATTTGTTCATTATTTTGTTTTCCAGTCCAATGGTGCAGCTGTCCTCACAGTGGACACAAAAAATTCATATCCAGACAACAGAGAGTTTGTTTTTCCCCTGTATCTTCTGCATAAAGAGGTGAGTCCCGGTACAAAAAACTTTTCGGCAACATTTAGGGAGTACTATCAATTAATCTATCAAACCGCTTTGATATGCCCTGTGCCTTGATGCTTTGAAGTTACTTATCTATTTCAGTCAGTAAAAAAAAAAAAAAAAAAAAAAAAAAAAAACCCGAAGAAATCAGTTGTATAATCTTAACTGTAAGCTCTGTGACACCTCAAACTGTCGTTTTTGTGGCAGCTGTATCCGGAGATCAACTGAGCCAATCTCCATGATTTTCTCGTCAGTTGACAGGTTATATCTTTAAAGGAGCCTGCAGTTTTAAATTCTCTAATTTATTGCCACAAAACAGCCCTCTTGAAAGTTTGGGGTGTCCATTAGCTGTTTGTTGGTGGTGGTTAGGGGAGGGGGGGGGATTGTGAAGAGTAAATTCATCCGATCTTCCTGCGAGCCTCATCCATCCAAAATCGGCCAAAGCAGAGTTGTCCAAATTTTTTTGCTCCCCCTAAAAAATGAAGAAATCTTAGAATAATTACTTTTTAGGATAAAATAGTTTTATGAAATATGTGTGTTTAAAAGCAACTGTTTTTAGGAAAATGTATGAATTAAGTCCCAATTTCTCTGCAGATTGAAAACACAGAAATCAAGTCTGGAAATGCTTAGCCTTCAACATTCTGCTACAGGTCTAAAGAATATTTGTGACATTAAATTTCCATGCCTCTCATAAAGTACACAAAGAAGATCAGAACATTGAAATGCTTTTGAATAATAGAAATCTGCTAATAGCAAAAGCAAAGTTATTTACATTTGAAACTCTTCACAAGAAATCTAGCCATAAATCTAGCTTCAGGGTCCATGGAAATGACAAAAAATTGATTATGAGCCAATTACACACAAAGTAAAAAGACTAATAATCTATTGCTTGGAGCACTCAAGACTTTTGCATTACACAATTCATATTCATATGAGCGTAATAGGGCAGTCAATAATTTATAAAATATCCTGGTGAAAAAAATTTAGTAAATTAATTTTACAACTGAGAATTAACAGTGCCATATAATAGAAGCATTCCAATAGTTAATCTACAGACAAATAGCAAAATGTTACTAATGAAAGTCCTACTTACATCTTGGAATACCTAGCAACCTTTATTGCATCTAAAGATTCAGGGATTGTATATCGAGCTGAAGAAATACAATTAAATATGTGTACAAAAATTGTTCCTGGAAAAGAAGTCAAGAAAAAAATGGACCTGTAATCGATCAAGTATGGGCCTTTAATAGAAATGCATTAAGTTGCATTTTGAAAAGAAAAGAGTTGGGAGTAGGTTTGAACTCAATCACTCATAAATTTTGTCCTGTCAAAAATTTAAAGCTGAGGAGAAATCTTTTGATTGTGAATATAGTCGTCAAACTATACATCGAGTCTTAAGGAGAAATAAAACTTTCAAACCTCTTTTTCTAGGTTGGAACTTGCTGCAAGTTAGTGCATTCTAAAGTTGGTTCATAATGTCATTGTTTATTTTTAATTTTTTTTTTTTTTTTTTTTTTTGCTTTTATGCATTTTGTACATATTTTATGCTTTTTAAATTGAGTCCAAAGCTTTTTAAACGAGTAGGTAGGTCTAAATATTTAAGGTAATTTCCTGGACTCTGCTGTGAATAGCGGTAATAGCCGATCATTCTGTTGTATTAAATCAATTAATTACATTCCTTTTTTTTCAGGGTTTCGAACACCTAGATCCCTTCATTCCAGTTTATGTTCCTGCACTCAACCCAAAAGAGGTAAATAATCTTCTCGACTATTATGAAGAAAAGAAGTGGTTACTTAAACCCCAAGCACGTGAGGAAATCGAGTTTTTAAGCACCAGGAATCCTTACCACCTCACTGAATTATGTGGTCCCTTGTAATTTTTTTAGTACCTTTACATCCTATACATTTTTGTAATTTTAAGTATTTGTATAGTTGCTTTGTTTCAAAGCATTATTTGTCTGTGTTTTTATACATAAAATTTTTATGTTGAATTTAGTCTTTCATTTTGTACCTATTTTCCCCACGAATATCTCCAAGAATACATACCATTATGGCTGTCACTGAAGCAGACCTTTCCTTCTACTTACTCTCAAATTCTTTTCCATTTGAAACTTACTAAGTATATCAGGGTCAAATTTCCTGCCTCTTCATTGTTTCCAACATCAGGAAAGAAATCACTTAGCTATCAATTGGAGAAACAAACAAACAAACAAAAACCCCAGAAAACCCAGAAAGAGATTTTAAGAACTAATGAATACATCGTCTTCGAAAATGCCAATCCTAAAGGAAGATAGCTCAACAATGAAAAGAACAGATCAAACCATAGGGCTTTTTCAAAAGAAATGTTTTTGGTGCATTTTGGAAACCTGTCACACATAAATTAACCAGCATAAGTACCAAAGTTTTGTCTTATTTGTCGACTTTTTCAAATATGAGTGCTGTTAATCTCCAGATCAGGGTCGTTATTACAGCCATCAAAGCTTGGAAGTACCTAAATATTTCATAGGAGGTCTGAAATAAATTGTTTGGCGAAACATTCGTAGGCAAGTCTCGCAATAACCATTGTTCTGCAATAACGAAGAAGGATTTTCACATTACCTATTGACTTCTATTCGATGGCATGTTTCAACAGAAAACAAATTATAGAAAAAACTGCGTTTTTCACGATTTTTGGAGTTATTGTGAGGTAACAACATTCAAGTGAGAGCGGAAAAGGCACGATATTTTTAGTGTGCTCATTATGGGGCGGAACTAGGAATTCCCTGTGGGGGGGG